TCTGTGCCGTGCTGGCTAGGCCGAGGGAAAGTGTGACATGTATAATTTGAAACTGTCCTTCCTAATCTCTTCAATGATTCTTTTTTCTTAATTCTGTATTATACCCAGGTGCTATAATCTCTCACCTAAATTCCTTAGCTCTTATGAAGGTATTTTTACACAATGAGTTTTTCAAATTGATGTTTCTGCAAAATGATGAGCACAAACAATCCTATTCTGCCATCTTGCTGACATCACTAGGCTACATTTTTTTTATTATTATTATACCTTAAGTTCTGGGGTACATGTGCAGAATGTGCAGGTTTGTTACATAGGTATACACATGTCATGGTGGTTTGCTGCACCCATCAACCCGTCATCTACATTAGGTATGTCTCCTAATGCTATCCCTCCCCAGCCACACACCCCTTGACAGGCCCCTGTGTGTGATGTTCCCCTTCCTGTGTCCATGTGTTCTCATTGTTCAGCTCCCACTTATGAATGAGAACATGCAGTGTTTGGTTTTCTGTTCTTGTGTAAGTTGGCTGGGAATGATGGTTTCCGGCTTCATCCATGCCCCTGCAAAGGACAAGAACTCATGCATTTTTATGGCTGCATAGTATTCCATGGTGTATATGTGCCACATTTTCTTTATCCAGTCTATCATTTATGGACATTTGGGTTGGTTCCAAGTTTTTGCTATTGTAAATAATGCCACAATAAACATATGTGTGCATGTGTCTTTATAGTAGAATGATTTATAATCCTTTGGGTATATACCCAGTAATGGGATTGCTGAGTTAAATGGTATTTCTGGTTCTAGATCCTTGAGAAATCGCCACACTGTCTTCCACAATGGTTGAACTAATTTACACTCTTACCAATAGTGTAAAAGCATTCCTGTTTCTCCACATCCTCTCCAACATCTATTGTTTCCTGACTTTGTAATGATCGCCATTCTGACTGGCATGAGATGGCATCTCATTGTGGTTTTGATTTGCATTTTTCTAATGACCAGTGATGATGAACTTTTTTTCATGTTTGTTGGCTGCATAAATATCTTCTTTTGAGAAGTGTCTGTTCATATCCTTCACCCACTTTTTGATGGGGTTGATTTTAATTGGATTTAAAATCTCTCTCAAATATAAGGAGGTTCTTATATTTTGGTAGTTCAAGTAAAAAAAATCTATGAGTTGGCCGGGCGCGGTGGCTCAAGCCTGTAATCCCAGCACTTTGGGAGGCCGAGGCGGGTGGATCACGAGGTCAGGAGATCGAGAGTATCCTGGCTAACATGGTGAAACCCCGTCTCTACTAAAAATACAAAAAACTAGCCGGGCGTGGTGGCGGGCGCCTGTAGTCTCAGCTACTTGGGAGGCTGAGGTGGGAGAATGGCGTGAACCCAGGAGGCGGAGCTTGCAGTGAGCCCAGATCACGCCACTGCACTCCAGCCTGGGAGACACAGTGAGACTCCGTCTCAAAAAAAAAAAAAAATCTATGAGTTAATTTAAGAATAGAAACACAATGTAACTGAACTGCAAAGAAATTTTAAAACCTTACATCTTAGGCTAAACTAAGAAAAATTTCATGTTCATATCAGTATGAAATATTCTGATCAGTTATTGATAACATAGAAGGGCTTCTAAACACTATTCATCATTCAAAGAAAGTGAGAAAGATTGTAAGAGACTTGGAAATCAAATTACTAAAGGAACTATTAGGAGACCATTTAGAAACTTTTTTTCCTAGAAAATAAAAAATCTTTGAGGTGTAGAGGATTTCTGAAAATCTTTTTAAATATTTTAAGTACCACTATATGGAAGAGAGAATATAAATTTTTCCTACTACAAAGAACAGAACTATGGCCAAAGATAGGATATTCATAATTAAAGAAATTGTCTCATAAGGTTGAACTTTCTAGTAATTTGAGTTGCGTCAAAATGGAATAGTCTTCCTGTGTACAAGTAGCGACGTCTTTGTCCCTGCAAGTTTTTTAGCATAAGCCCAGTCTCCATCTGCTAAGAACAGGATGGGGATTAGCAGAAGGGAGTCTAGAGTAGGAAAGAGGTTCTCTTGTATGAGCATCTAATTTTAGACCGAAAAATCCGCCAATTTTAAGGTCCTTTCATCCATGTATATTACTCCATATACCAAAAAAAAAAAAGAGAGAGAGAGAGATTTCCTAGTAATTAGCCTGATGATGTTCCCACAGTGGAGAAAGTTATATCCAACAATGAAGTCAGCACAAATTGAAACAAAATGGCCCCTGTGAGAATGCTAATTCAATACCTAAATAAAACTGTATAAATTTAAAAGTGCATAGTACTTATTTATTTTATTTTATTTATTTATTTTATTATTATTACTATTTTTTTTTTGAGACAGAGTCTTGCTCTGTCACCCAGGTTAGAGTGCAGTGGTGAGGTCTCGGCTCACTGCAAGCTCTGCCTCCCAGGTTCACGCCATTCTCCTGCCTCAGCCTCCCAGTTAGCTAGGACGACAGGCGCCCGCCTCCACACCCAGCTAATTTTTTGTATTTTTTAGTAGAGACGGGGTTTCACCATGTTAACAGGATGGTCTCGATCTCCTGACCTTGTGATCCGCCCGCCTTGGCCTCCCAAAGTGCTGGGATTACAGGCGGGAGTCACCGCGCCCGGCCCATAGTACTTATTTAATAAATTTTTAAGTGATATTTCTTGACAGACAAGATAAATATTTAAGTGCCAACTTTATAACCACAAATCTGTCTAAATACCATAACTTTAGAATAAGATACTTTGCCAATTTATAATGCAAATAAGGTATACAGACATACACACATCCATGCATGCTTTTTAAGGAATTCCTTCTTAGAGTGTATAAATTTGTCTTTATAAGTAAGTGTTTATAGCTGAATTGTACAGTATTGATGTCTTTAAGCTTACTTTTTTCTTTTCCTTGATACTGCTTTTTTTCTTATACTATGACTATTTCATTGCATCAGAAACTAATATGTTTCAAATAGCACAACTAAATTATTTAGATTGTATTGATTATTTAATTTGAAGATGAGGGAGAAATGTTTTCACTCTTTACATAGAAATCAAATTAGTAAAGTCCCAATTAAAATCTATATATTAAAAGAGATTTAAGATTCATATCAACTAATTGCAATAGATGAGTCATAACTGGATCTTATTTAAACAAACTCTAAATATAACAGTACTCTGAGAAAATTGAGCTCTGACTAGGTCTTATTTTTTCTTGGCATACTCTTTTGAACCCTTACCTTTTAGGAAAAGAAAATCTACAATATTTAGGAATGAGATTATATAATATCTGGTATTTGCTTCAAAATAATATGTGAATGAAAGAAATGGGGATAGAAATAAAACATGATGAGCAATAACTTGATAATTATTAAAACTAGGATTTAAACATATACAATTATTCATTATGCAATTATCTCCATTTTATATATGTCTGATAATTTTCATATTTTACAAATAAAGTCCAATCTCAGTTAGACATTTGTCTCCCAAAGTCTTCAACCAGCAACAATCAAACTTTCTTATTTCACCACATATTTTCCAAACTCCTATATTTTCCCAAGTAAGTCAGCTCTCACCTCACACTTATATTCCTCAACCAGAAAAACAAAAGTCTTGCAGCTAACTAACCCCAGCCTGGAAACAGCACATTAAAGATTATTATTAATAATTATGCTTAGAGCCTATCCTTTGATATCTTGCTTCTCACACTAAAACATATAAACATATAAACATCAGCTAGCCTATGTGTGGTTCTCCTTGTATATCATTACACTAGGATATTTTAAACAAAGAAAATGTGTTACCAAAAATTTTATTATCAAAACAGCATCTAATTTATTGTGTGTGTATGCATGCACATACTCGCAGGTATGCGTGCATATATGCATCTGTACATCTTTGATCAAGAGGCCCAAAAGCTTAAATGAGAGTTGAAAAAATGAATACTTTTGAGAGCTTCTGAATTAAATAAAACGATAATTCAACATGGTGTAAAACTAACAAATTAGGACAATGATATAAAGTATAGTCTCTATTTGAATTTATCGCTTATAACCTAATTTTATCATCCTGCCTCTACTCTCATTCACTGTTCATGATTTACATATGGAAGACTGACTAATAAGAAAAATGTTATCAAATATAGGAAATAAGTGGCTATTTCTGGCTCCCACAGATCTTTAGTCATAGTTCCAGATTTAGGCTTGTGGCAATCTTGCATATCCTTAAACGTTGGGAACATGAAAGAATTATTATTCTAATAGATACCATAGACACTCTATTTGAAAGATACTCACAGCCCTTTTCTTCTTTACCTTCCTCTATTGAGAAGCATTGAAACTGTTAAAATAATTGGTTTCCCAACCTACACTGTAGTGAAGAGTGGCTATGTGACCAAGTTCTTACTAATAATATGTGAATGAAATTCACTGTGGATGTCTTCTCTTTCCAAATTGAAAATGTAAACTCTCACATGAAGAAAGTTTTGTATTTTACCTTCTTCCTGCCTGGAATGTAAACATGAGCTCTGGATATGTAGCAGTCATTTTGTAACTAAAGGTCAAATAACATGCTAAAGATAGCAAAAAAGAAAGAGTACAGATCCATAACACATTGCTGAAGAGCTGTTTTAGCCCTGGCTACCTGTCTCCAGATGAGCTTTATACAAGTAAACAAAAACATTATAGATTTAAGCAACTGTTAAGAGCGCTTTCTGGGTCTGTTTTTTGTTTGGGGGTTCATTATTTGGGGTTTTGGTGGGAGGGGAAGGGTAACATAGTCCTAACTTTTACACTACTATTCCTGGGAGCAAAATAGGTGGCAGAAGTTCAGAAGACTTGAACAGCATAAATATATGTAAGAATCTTGGCAGACTTCCGATGCTGACAAAGATGAAGTAACAGGAACTGAATTTACTCTTCCACTGAAACAACTGGAAAACAAAAACAAAAACAAAAACAAACAAACAAACAAAAAACCAACCCAGGTACTCACAGTCTAAGAAATATCAGTTTTCAGATACTGGACACCATTGATGCAGGACATTGATCTCTGAGAGAGGGAGAAAATATGAGGTTAGCCACAATGATTGCTCAAGCTTACTTTCTGGAGAAAGTTTCTAAGCCTCAGCACAGGAAAGAGAAACCAGAAGGAGCCTGGAGGTATCCTTGAGTTGGAGAGATGGAGCTGGGAGTCAAGGAATGGCAAAGTAGATACAGTTTAAGTGGAAGAATACTGGACAGCAGAGAGGTGCATACAGAGAGAACTCTGACAATCTCCAGAGTATTCCTCTCTAGTCTTCAGTTGAGTACCTACTAGGATATGCATATGAGGAGAACTGAAGCTGGGAAATAAGTCTTGCAGAAAGAAAAGAATCAATAATCTCCAAAGTTCACACAGGTTTAGGAATAACCCATATTTTCTTTTTTTTTTTTTTTTTTTCCTGAGACGGAGTCTCACTCTGTCTCCCAGGCTGGAATGCAGTGGCCTGATCTCGGCTCACTATAACCTCCGCCTCCCGTGTTCAAGTGATTCTCCTGCCTCAGCCTCCCGAGTAGCTGGGACTACAGGCATCCACCACCACTCCCGGCTAATTTTTTTTTTTTTATTTTTAGTAGAGACAGGGTTTCACCGTATTGGCCAGGCTGGTCTCAAACTCCTGACCTTGTGATCCACCCGCCTCGGCCTCCCAAAGTGCTGGGATTACAGGCTTGAGCCATCGTGCCCAGCTTAACCCATATTTTCAACCAGTCAGAGTGGAAAGCTTTGTAATTCATGGGACATCAGATATACTCAAAAGAATACACCAAATTAGCCTTATATTAAGATTGTCTGGTCCCTACATTTTATAAAACTTACAAGCAAGCTTTGAAAGGATCAAATTGTTTCCAAATAACAAGTGAATCACAGAACAAAGCTCAAGAGTATCTAACACCCAACAAAATAAAATTCACAATATCCGCTATCTAATGGAGGGCAAGCATTCAAAAAAGCAGAAAATACAATCAATTATAATAAAAAAACAAATAGAAACATATTAAGAAATGACACAGATGACAGAATTAATAGATAAGAACATTAAAACAGTCTTATAACTATTACAGATGCTAAAGAAGCTAGAGGAAAAATTGATCCAATTAGATAGAGACACAAAAGGTATATATAAAAAGGGATCCAAATAAAACTTCTAGAATTGAAAACAATTGTGTGAAATAAAAAATACAGGCCAGGCACAATGGCTTACACCTGTAATCCCAGTACTTTGGGAGGCCGAGACAGGTGGATCACTTGATGTCAGGAGTTTGAGAACAGTCTGGCCAACATGGTGAAACCCTGCCTCTACTAAAAATATAAAAATTAGTCAGGCATGGTGGTGGGCAGCTGTAATCCCAACTACTCGGGAGGCTGAGGCAGGAGAATCGCTTGAACCCAGGAGGCGTAGGCTGCAGTGAGCTGAGATGGCACCACCGCACTCCAGCCTGGGCGACAGAATGAGGCTCCATCTCAGGACAGAAAAACAAAAAGTACACCAGGCGGTACATCAGGTTAGACAATGCTGAAAGAAATATTGGAGACAAAGCAATAGAAAATATCCCAAATAAAATACAAAAAGATAAAAAAGAGATGAAAAATTAACAGAGCATCAGCAAGTTATAAGTCAACGTCAAGTGCCCTAACATATGTATCATTGGAATCCCTGATGAAGTGAAGCAGAAGAAAGAAGAAGAGATAAAAATAAAATTGGAAACGTACTGGCTAAAATATTTCCAAATTTGATAAAAATTATAAATTAATATATTCAAGCAACTTAGTGAACTCCAAACAAAGAAACATGAAGAAAAGTATGCTGAGCTGCAATATAGCCAAATTGCTTAAAATAAGTGATAAAAAGAACTTAAAAAATCAGCTAGAAGAAAAACTACACATTACATACATAACACTTTCTCTTAAAATTAGCCCTATATTAAGATTGCTTGGTTCCAACATTTTACAAAGCTTACAAGCATTTTCTTAAAACCAGAAATCATGATATTAACACCTCAATGAGCAGAAAGGTTGCAGGAATGATGTGGTCTCATTAGGCTGTTTTGGTGTAATTATGTCAACAAAAGCAGCAACAGCAAAAATGACAGATTATAAATAATGCTACCTCAGTACAACATATTTTCCTTGCATTATTCACTTAATCTATACAACAAACAATCTTACAGACAATGTAACTAAGACTCAGGTGGATTAAATAACCTTACTGGTAAAAAATCTGTAATATTAACGGATATATATCTACTTCCTCTTTTAGTAAGTACAAACTATGAAAATGAGTGCCAGGTTTATCTTTCTAAGCTTCTGTACTCATTTCTGTGCACTACAGACGCGGATGAAGAGTTACATATATGAATACTAGGGCCAACAATGAAAGTTATGTTTTGTTTTTCAATCCTAGATCCACTTTATTTTTTTATTTGCTTCTTTTCCAGCAAATATTCCTATCACATTTGAATGCTATTGGTACCAGAAAATTTACTACTTGAAACTGTATCTAATATTTTACTTTCACTTTTTGATTTAAATGTTTTTTAATAGTTTCACCAACAAATTATTTTTATAAAACTTACTGACCGTTTCTAGGATTCTAAAAGTCTCTAACTGTAACATGAGAATTTTCACATTTGTATGGCACATCTAGAGGCCGTTGAAACTACAAAAAGAATGAATCAAAAGCATATTTTTAATCCCATAAAGGTAAACAAAAGACAACAGGAAAATGTTTATTTCTTCTTTAAAAAGGGGGAAAAAAATCAAAATGTAAGAGAATCATTCAGAGGCAATGAATTTGTACTTTAATCCTTAAAAATATAATACTAACAACTTTTTCATCTAAGATTATTTACTTGGGCAATTATGATATCCAAGTCATTCATTATGAGAAGCTGAGATAATCAAAGTATCCTGCTTTGAATTATTTAGCTGCCACAAAAAGTGAGTTGTTCAGTTAAAAAAAAAAAAAAATGTCTAATTTCTCACTAACACAACCTACAGGTTCAGGAACTGACAGTTAAAATCTAGTCCTAAAAGTTCTGGCCAAGGTATAATGAGCTCCAAAAAGCAGAAAGCCCCAGTTACCATGAGGCCAAGTCACTAGGTAACATCTTCAGAGGTAAAGGGCTCTGTTGTTTCTCTCACTACCCCAAATTATAAAGATAGGCTGAGTTCTTTTCTCAGCTACTGTCAGTAGCAAAGCTAGACATGCCTAATAAAAGAGGCTCTGAGAAATACCATACTAGTAAATTACTTATCTACAAGGAATTTAATTTTCTATCACTTGAGAGTGAAATCATTTTTTTAAATCGTCTGCAAATTCTAGAGGGATTAATTTTTTTTTTTTCTTTTAAGACAGGGTCTCACTCTGTCTCCCAGGCTGAAGTGCAGTGATGCAATCACAGCTCACTGCACCTTCTCTCCTGGACTCAAGTGATCTCCCCACCCCCCACCGCCCACCCCACCCTGCACTTGGTCTCAACCTCCTGAGTAGGTGGGATGACAGGCACGCACTACCACAGTGGGTGGGCTATTTTCTTTTTTAATTATTTTTTGTCGAGATGAGGTTTCACCATGTTACCCAGGCTGGTTTCAAATTCCTGGGTTCAAGTGATCCTCCTGCCAAGGCTTCCCAAAGTGCTCGAATTACAGGGATGAGTCATTATGCCTGGCCAAGATTATATTCTTAAGCTCTTTCTAAATTCCTAAAGGGATAATTTTCAAACCATTCTCTCAATTTTAAAGTGTCATCAAGCATGACCTTGATGACATACAGAAAAGTAGCTTTTGTTTACACATTTCATATTAGCAATTTATAGCTTATATCTCTGGGGGATTTTTAATCAAAAAACATTAACTGAAGCCTGGTCATTCTATTAAGCTTTGAGATGTATTATCCTGCCTTACCTTATTGTCCACAGCAATGGCTGCTGTGCATTCAGTCCTTAGAAAATTCTCTAACCTCCTGTCCCTACATCAATTGCAAGGGAAAAGGAAATCTTCATCCTGGGTTTATATGGGGAAAGGTGTAAGAAATTCCTTATTCACAGAAGATTTGTTTTAGTCCATTTTGTGATGCTTAATAGAATGCCACAGACTGGGTAATTTATAAACAATATATACTACTTCTTATTCTAGACGTCAAGTTTAATACCAAAGTACCAGAATCTGGTGAGCATTCCTGCTGTATCATCCCATGGCAGGAAATAAAAGATCAAAAGAGCACACACATCCAAGAAAGATGGGAGGGGTTGGGAAAAGGGGAATGAACTCAACCTTTTCTTAGGAACCCACTCCCTTGGTAACCACATTAATCCATTCATGAGATCAGAGACCTGATGACCCTGCTAATCACCTCTTAAAGGTCCCATCTCACAACACTGTTGCACTGGGGACTAAATTTCCAACACATAAACTTTGAGAGATGTATTCAAACCATGCATAGCAAGGTTCCAATATTTTAAAGTTTTATTTATAATTTTGCTGCTTTAAAATTAGAAACAGCATTGCAAATGTTTTTAGTGGTACAAAGAAAGTGAAAACAAAGTTGCTTGGCAGAAGAAATGATCCTTAGGCCAACTAACCTTATCTCCTCCTTTTTCATGTATCAATCCAGGGACTGGTATATTAGTCTGTTCTCACACTGCGAATAAAGACATACCTGAGACTGGGTAATTTATGAAAAAAAAAGAGGTTTGATTGACTCACAGTTCCACATGGCTGGGGAGGCCTGACAATCATGGCAGAAGGAGAAGGAGGAGCAAAGTCACATCTTACATGGTGGCAAGCAAGAGAGGATGTGAAGGGGAACTTCCCTTTATAAAACCATCAGATCTCATGAGACTTATTCACTATCATGAGAACAACACAGGAAAGACCCACCCCTATGATTCAATTACCTCTCACTGGGTGCCTGTCACAACATATGGAAATAATGGGAGCTACAATTTAAAATGAGATTTTAGTGGGACCACAGCCAAACCATATCAACTGGGTTGATTTTCCCACAGTAATAAAACTAGTTTGAAGCAGAATCTAAAGGCAATTCAAGTTTCTGAGCTAGAAGCCTCATACTGTTTCTCCTCTTCTTTTTTATTTCAGATATGAATCCTGCTCTATAAAAAGGATGTTGAATATATATTTTATCATAGTAACAGCTGCACACTATATATTTCCAATAAAAAGCAACTGAAAACAATAACAGTCTAAATCTTGGTAAATCACAAGTTGAGAATCAAATCAAGAACTCAGTTCCTTTTACAAAACAAAAAGAAAGAAAAAATCACCTTAGAATATACTTAATCAAGGAGGTAAAATATCTCTACAAGGATAACTCAAAACACTGCTGAAAGAAATAGATGACACAAACAAATAAAAATCCATCCCATACTCATGGTTTAGAAGAATCAGTATCATGAAAATGTACGTATGTCCCAAAGCAATCTACCTATTCAGTGCAATTCCTTATCAAAATACCAACATCATTTTCCACAGAATTAGGAAAAAAATCCTAAAATTCACATGGAGTCAAAAAAGAACCCAAATAGCCAAGGCAATTCTAACCAAAAAGAACAAATCTAGAGGCATCACATTACCTGACTTCAAATTATAATACAAGGCTATAGTATCAAAACAGCACGATATTTGTATAAAAGCAGATGGATAGCCCAATGGAAGAGAATAGAAAACCCAGAAATAAAGCCAAATACTTACCGACAACTGATCCACAGGCATACGAAAACATAAATTGGGGAAAGGACATCTTGTTTAATAAATGGTGCTGGGAAAACTGACTAGCCATATGTGGAAGAATGAAATTGGATCCCCATCTCTCACCATACACAAAATTGAACTTAAGATGAATTAAAGACTTAAATCTAATACCTAAACCATAAAAATGCTAGAAGAAAACCTAGGAAAAACTCTCTGCATGTTGGCCTAGGCAAAGAATTTACGACTAAGACCTCAAAAGAAAATGTAACAAAAACAAAAATAAATAAAAGGAACCTAATTAAACTGAAGAATTTCTTCATAGCAAAAGAAGTAATCATCATAGTAAAAATGCTACAATTTACTCATGCTACTCATGCTGAAGAAGAAAAAATAATTAGAGGATGTGCAGTCTTCTACTTGGAGAATAAGACAGGTTTCTCTGAATGCTATGAAGAGGATTCATCTCTACTTTCAAGGACCAACTCAAGTCCTACCATCATGCTTTGCAGACAAAATTCACAACTCTTCCATGTTCTTTGTTTACTCCTCTATTATAACGATCACTGTCCTGGCTCATTTTTCCATTTGTTGAATGAGTGGACTGGCTTCTCCCCTAGAGTGCAAGTCCCTTGAGGTTAGGACATGGTTCTCTTTTTACGATCTGTCCAAGAATCCCTATCATGGGCTTCTTGCCTACTAAGTAGTCAGTAAATATGTGCTGAATTCAGCTAACGTAAATTTTACTGGAAGTTATTCTGTTGTTTTACTTACTACAAGTAGAAAAGCAAAGGAAAAAGAGTAAAAAATAATAATAACAGAAAAGAAAAGAGAGACCAGGGAATAGGAAAGGAGAGGAAAAGAGAAGATAGGAGAGACAAGAGGAGAGGGAAGAAGTAGTAAGGGAGGAGGAAGGGAAAAGGAAAGAAGAGAAATTAGGGCTACTAACGTCAAAAGGCATAATTACTTCTACATGACATTGCCAGCTAATATTTCTTTCCCTTTTGTATCTTAGAGTAAAAGAGATTAGGCTTATCTCATGAAACTGACAAATCAAACAAAACAGAGCCTAATTTCACTTTTAATATACTTTATAAAAATCTAACATTTCATTTGAAGAATAAAAGGAGAAATCTCAAAGTTTAAATTAATGATTGTCTACATTAAAATCATCTACAATAAAAGTAATAAAACCACAAAATTTCAATTTTTATAATGTTTCTGTATTATTTCTATGTATCTATTTTTCTATAGCTTTATATTTTACATTTACTGCTTTATTAATATTCTTGTCTGATAACATCACATGGGAACATAGTCGGCCTGGGATTGGGTAGCTTCATTTGATAAGTTACATTGAAAGGCGATGGCTACCACATACCCAATGAGGCACTGTAGTTCCTTAGCAGGCTAAATTTAGGCATAGTTAGCACATGCCATCCTATTCACTTTGAGAATTCATGTTTAGAATCCTCGTAGAGTCTTAGAGAAATCAAACCCATATTGTGCTAGCCTCGTATAATGAGAAGAGGAAGAAATGATGGGAAGATGCAACAACCAGGCCACTGAAAATGAAATGAAATGACAGCAAATTAGCTGTTTTGAGGATTTGGGGATTTTTAAACTATCTACAATATTGGTTTCAATGAGTGAATTTGCTTTGTCTGAAAGGATTTTAGCAAAACGTGTTTTGATTGTAGTGATTAATAAATTAAAGCCAATATAAATCAGTTGTCTCCTAAATTCTCTAATCTCTATGAAATCAAGGAAGTCTTTATGTACAGACATACAGAAAAATCATTTGTCACCATTCACAAAAATATTAAGAAAATGGTTGTAACAATTACCTAAATTCCTAGCTTTCTTATTATCGATTCTGCTGTACATGGTTCTTTAAGACTTTAAGAGCACATAATTTGTAATATCTTTTTTCCCTATAAGATGTTAAGAGTTTCAAAATGCCTCTAATCACCCCAGTACTTCCCTGACTCACCAATCTTGGCCTATTCTTCAGTGAGTGAGTCATGATGCTGGGGAAGAGTTCCTTGCCGAAACACAACAAACATTCTTCAGTTAACTGCTATTTACTGATCCACTAATGAATATTTGGGGAAGGACCTTGGTCAATGCTTTTCAAAGTTTAACGAACCTAAGAATCACCAGGGGCGCACATTAAAACTATAGATTGCTGCCCCCTCATTCCAATTTACTGGGTCTGAAGTGGGGACTGGGAATTCACATTTTAAATAAGGACACCAAGTAAATCCCATGATAAGTCACTTCCAGACAAAACTCTGAAAGTGATGCTGACTTTGGAAGAGGAAAATGTTGAGGAACTCTTTAATACAGTGCAAAATGTCTATGAGAAGAATGATGAATTCAAAGGTTTAGTTGGAGGCACTTGACCTTTGAATCTGGAATAAGCTTTGCTGATGAAGGTAAGATAGCCAAAAAAGCAGCAGCAGATGAAAATTGTCATGAGCTCCCCTCCTCAGCGCCTTCTACATTTAGCCCTACAGACTAGCAGTACCCTCTTTCCATTCTCTATCATCCTCCATATTCACATAGCGTCCGGACATATATCGAAGATTGTCATCACATAGATTTATAGTTGGGGACCAGATTTCAGTTCATGCTAGAAAAGTTGAAAGCATTATGGAAAATTGGTCTAGATAAAAAATAATTTGAAAACAAAAAGAAAGCATGAAGACAGAGAAAAAGCCTGAGCCTGGAGTGAGGCCAAGATCCTGAACATGCCAGTGAAGAATTAATGGAGAGGGAGGTAGAGAGGGCTTCGCTTTGCTGCTGTCAGTTGGACATTCCATCCAACTGCCCCTGAAGTACATTCCAGCCCACTGAGCATGCTCAGTTCATATGACTGACTTTCACTAAGTATAACAATCAACAAGTTCACCAGAAAGCCTTTCCCAACATCAGGACACTAAAGTGACCACAGAAAACCATTCCTGAATTTGTGATCAATGGACTCAAGTTTAGGGAGAGGAGCACCTTTGGTCTACAACTATGGTTTGAATCCCAGTCTCTAATTACTTCTTTCCCAAATACTCTGGTAATCAAAGGGAAATATTTGGTGAGATGCAGCCATTTTGTTGGTTAGCAGGAGTTCAGACACAAGAAAATGTCATAGTGGTAGAATACAGTATCAACCTCAACAGCAAGCCCATAGCTGGAAGCTCCCAGACCATTGTGCCAATCAAGTGGAGGAGGCACTTTCATTTAGAGAGGCTTATGTGAACCTTATATGAGAAACTTGCCAACCTGCCTGTTTGATTTTCTAGCCTTACTATTTCGAATACTTAGGTGCTATCTTTTAGAGACCCTGAAACAGCCAAGACATGACACCCAGTACAGAGGAATTCATAGGTAAGCATCATCAGATCCTGAGAAGTCAAGGCTCTTCCCTGTGTTTTGTGTCTGTGGAATTATAGGCATATATGAGGTCTGGGGGTGGTGCGTCATTGTGGGAGGTCTGTACACCTCAAAGGATTTATGAAATGGTATGCAAAATACATAATAAAGTTATGCTGATTGTGAAGGATCAATAATAGACTGGAAGCCTAAGGGATGGTTGTGCTTTAAAATTTATAGTCTACCTGAGGAGAAAGTGGCTACATATCAAAGAAAGGCAGTTTGTTATTTAATTTTAAATACTAGAAGAGTCCTTTGGAAGTATTTCTCCCAATTTCTAGGTATGGTTGCCTTTCTGCTTTGCCAAAAAGATTGGCCTAAATGAGTATATTGTTTGGTTTGGAAATTCATGAGAAATCTTCATCTCCAAAAGCATTTCTCCTATCAACTTGCCATGTAGCTTGAAATTGCTCAATTCCTTTGACTCCATTTTTTTCCAGTTTTCTAGAGTGCATTATTCCAAAACATATATTCATAGAAAATGCAAGTCAAACACATTTAGGTCATTGTCAGAAAACAGGACATGGGGATGGGACAAAAAGAGGGAGTCAGCAGGCACAGGAGAATAGATGGAGTTGAAGAGGGCATGGAAAAAGAAGATGGGAGAGGTACTGAGGGGAGGACGAGTGAAAAATAAACAGCTATGTTGCACCCCTGCCTTCTAATGCTCAAGTCAGGAGTGAGAAATTCAACTCATTGACACTTAGAGCTAAACCCTGCAAGAGATAATTTACAAGGCAATGCCCACTTGCCTAGAGGGATGAAGAGGAATCCAGCATCTTTTATCTTCCCTTTCACATTTGATTCAGGTTTAAAAAATAATAATAATAATTGAGCATCTGCTAGTTTCAATTATGTCATGGATATGAATAAAACAGTTCCTGCCATCAAAGAGCTAGCAGTCAAGGGAGAGAGACAAAGAGAGAGAGGATAAATGAATGAATGAACTTTCTGTGTTGATTACAAAATAATTAATAGGAGGACATTTCAGCACATATTTTAATTCATATTTTTCTGTACATTTTAGAGATGTTTGGGGATATTAACCTCACTCTTGGCATGCTGAACAAGGAAGATATTGTTAACAAGGTAGGGAATGTAGAAAAACTCTTTTTCCCTTTTTCAGTCTTGTTGTTGCAATATTTTGTATATATTTTTCTTTGCCTCAACTTTCTCATTTTTCTCTGGCGTGTCACATGGCATTCAATTTTTCAGTAAACACTGTTGTAATGAAAGTCATTGTAATGTTTAAGCAATGATATTTAGCATTTCAAGAATCACAGTATCTATGTCTAGAAAATAGCAAAAAAAAAGTTCCTTTTTATAACTTTATATAGGCAGATGTTGAAAGGTGTATGTCAGACTTACAAACATGTGGATGAGACTGTTTCCTTTATAATTTGAGGGTTGTTACAAAAATCCCTAAAGCTCTTCCCTGCTCATCTATAATGCTATTTCACAGCTAGAAGTTTACCTAAGAATTGAAGACTTTTCACATTTCAACAACCTTCTGTAAAATAAAAGAAATAACTGCCCTTCATCAAACACTTACCTGGGAAGGAAAATGCTAGATATTTTCCAAACAACAGTGTATTGTATAATATTCACTCCCCAGAACAATTTTATCAGGTAGATATTGCTAGTTCCATTTGATAACTGAGAAAAAATTAGGCACAGAGAAGTTACACGACTTGCTCAACTAAGAACAGAGGACTATATCCAAAAGCAAGTCCATCTGACTCCAAAAAAATGTTCCTAATCATTATTCAGTGTTGTCTCCATGTGAAGGGCAGTGCCTATACCTTTGTCTCTTAATTCAGTGGTTCTCAACCCTGACCACGTACTAGAATCCTTTAGAGAGTTTTGAGAAAATATCAACACCCAGGCCCTACCACCAGGGATTCTTATTGGATCAGTCTGTGAAAATCTTGAGCATTTAAAGCTCCTGGAGGTGATCCAAATATTTAGGTATGGTTGAAAACCATTACGTTAATCTCTCAGTAGAAGTCACCTTTCCCAAAGAGCACTCTTTCTCAAACATTGGGAATCACTTGGAGAATAACCTCCGGATCCCAGAAGCACTGAAGAAGAATTTCCAGTAAAGGGATCAGAGAATACATGTTTTTAAGAAGCACTTCCTATTTATTTTATGGTGAGTCTAGTTAAAGAATAATAATAGCCAGCATAACCAAGAGGTTAAGGTGCCAGCTAAAATTCAGTCTGTTGGTTTCAAATTGTAGCATCAGTACGTAATACTAAGTACATTAAGCTCCCTGAAGCTCAATTTCCTGATCTATAAAATGAATATATTTGTGGTACCTAACACAGGGACTTGTGAGTATTAATAAAATGTTCCAGATAATGAGTCTGGCACAGTTCCAGGTATGTGGTGAGAGCTCCATAAATGTTAGCCTTGCCAAAGAACAAGGCCTGAAGACAGAAGAGTAAGCACATGGAGCAAGAAAAAGACTCACAGAGATAGTTAGGCAGGCCCAGAAAATACAAGGAAGAAAGCAAAGAAAAATTATGCATTATTCTCAAACTTCCCAAGGACCAGCCCTGAGGAATAATGCAAAGGATGCTATTTAACAACTTAAGCATGGGTGCAGTGGCTGGAGGTACATGTTGAAGCTGTTGGAGATTTCAGAACACCAGTCTCTTGTCTTCCAGAGGACACATAGCCACCTAAAAGATTTACAAGAGCCCTCACACAGGGCATCGAGTCAAGCCACACAACCGGAGGCCCTGTCTAAAAGGTTGTCCACAACTTTCTGTCTGCAGAGGCATGAATGAAACAAGGGCCTGTAAATGTCCCTTAGGATCCAGTTTCATAGTTTAGCAGCCTCTTGGGGAGTTACAGTGTGTTCCCTAGTACCATATCACTCCCTGGTAGTAAGGGCAGCAATTAGGCTGACAGCCATTTCCATTCCCCTGAGTGTCCCACAACAGTGATTTTCGAAAGACATGGAATGGCAGGTAGCCTATCCTGGTCTTCAATCAGATCTTGCCATAGAAATGTAGCCAAGTTAAAATAGTTTCTAGAATTAACTTTGCTCTGTAGCCTTTGACTCCTAAAGATGCACGTTATGTTCAGAAAGCCTCAATTAAGGCCAGGCACGGTGGCTCATGCCTGTAATCCCAGCACTTTGGGAGGCCAAGGCAAGTGGATCACCTGAGGTCAGGAGTTCGAGACCAGCCTAGCCAACATGGCAAAACCCCGTCTCTACTAAAAATACAAAAATTAGTCGGGCATGGTGGCACACACCTGTAGTCCTGGCTACTCAGGAGGCTGAGGCAGGAGAATCCCTTGAACCCAGGAGGCGGAGGTTACAGTGAGCTGAGAACATGACATTGCACTCTGACCTGGCCAAAATGAGTGAAACTCCACCTTAAAAAAAAAAAAAAAAAAAAAAAGAAAGTCTTAATTAAGGCATATAATATGAAATTCACTGTGTAGAAAAGATAAATTGCTTACTTTAATGGTGTTATTCATTAGGACTTCATTTGATTCTTTAGTTTTGCAATCCAAATTTCTATGTATGCCTTTGTATGTTCACAGGAAGACATTTACAGTCATCTCACTTCTGTTATTCAGAATACTGACATCTTGGATGATGCAATTGTCCAACAGTTGATTTATTATGCTTCTAAGGACATGAGAGACAACAATGTAAGTCTGGTTCATGATGGTGAAAAGGGTCTTTAAGTGATCCAACTGCACCCATGTGGACTGTTCTACACTGTTGCCAGGACCACAAATCACTTGTATTTGTTCTTTGCAGTAACTTGGATATCCTTATAATGCCTGATATTTACTCCTTCACAGATGAGGAAACTGAGGCAAAGATAAGAATTATTTTAGAGGTGATATTATCCAACCTCCTTTTAGAAGAGGAAGTTCACAATTAGAGATATATTTTTTTCAAAGGAACATAGCTGTCTATTGACAGAACTAGAAACCAATTTTCTTGGCTTCTTTATGACTTATTTTTTATGTACCTACTTATCTTAGATTGTCTGATAGACAACATAGCAAAAAATAATAATTTGTAGAAATAATTTGAATCCTAGGATGATGTTATCTCTTCCAGAAAGAAGAATTACTTGTTCCCGCCAATGGCACTAACAATTTATGATGCTTTCAGGGCTTGAGATTTCTGGGTCACTTCTATAACTCAAAATTGGATTGTTATTCATGAGAACACCAATTTAACCTTTCATCTGAGCACAGCCCTTTGGTGTCTTAGCCCAAAAGACAAGAGGTGGGATGAGCAGAGTCTCACCACTGGTTGGCTCTGAACTCTGACTATTGCTTCAAAATGCAACAAAACAGTCTCAAATGCAGGGCTTATCTCTCTAGATCAATAATCATTTCCAGGCCTCAACTCAGTAATTCGTTCCAACCTATATTGTGAGT